AATGAACTACACAATCACAATACCTTAATCAAAATCAGAAACACTTATATATATAACAAAATTGACCTTAAATCTCTATCAATAAAGCAAAATCTATACTAATGTAAATTATTCATACCTATATCATATCCCTCTTTAAATGTAAAAGAACGTTTATAAACCATATTTGGGAATATGGGCGTAGTTTTTTCTCTCCAAACTGCTTCCTGCTGAATGGGGGCGTCGTTAATTAGGTCTTTCATGGTATAACCTGTGTGCTAGTTTCATCTCAGTTGGCAGTTGAGCGAAGCAATTTTTTTTTTTTTTTTGGTTTTTCGAGACAGGGTTTCTCTGTGGCTTTGGAGCTCGTCCTGGAACTAGCTCTGTAGACCAGGCTGGTCTCGAACTCACAGAGATCCGCCTGCCTCTGCCTCCTGAGTGCTGGGATTAAAGGCGTGCGCCACCATCGCCCGGCGAGAAGCAATTTTTTGAAGGTGTGCACAGGAACCATTCAGGAGGACGTGGTCCATCATACCATATCGGGATAAATGTAATCCACAAGTTCTGATCCTCTGTGAAGACAAAAGAAGAATCTCTTTTCCAAAGTATCATATCCTTAGATCCAAATTCAAAATATCTATGTCGGATTAGTTCAGCAGCATTTATAAACAAATATCTTTTAGCAGCTGTTGCTCCTTCCTCAGCATTCAAATAATTCAAAGAGAGCATAATAGCATACAGTATCAAGATTCTCTGTGTATTTTCCATCTTTGTACAGCTTTGTTTTAACCTCTATTTTGTTTATTTTTACTTTTAAACTTTTTGCTTTTTGAGACAGGTTCTCTGTATCTTTGACCTGAAGTAACTCTGTAAACCAGGCTGTCTTTGAACTCTCAGAGATCCGCCTGTCTCTGCCTCCCAGGCATTCGGGATTAAAGGTGTACACTACTACACCTTGAACTCACAGAGATCTGTTTGCCTCTGCCTTCTAGGTACTGGGATTAAAGGTGTGTGCTACCACACATAACAACTCTCTTCCTTTTTTTGTTTTTTACTTCAAGAACTTCAACTTTTAGTCTGCATATATTTTTAACACACTGTAAACCATTCAGAAATTTTCTCTGTCTTTGAATCTCTCTTTACTGTATATCTCTCTTTTTCTGACCACACGAGTCTTTAATTTACCAAGCAATATCAGTAGGATTAAAGGCGTGGCTTTGCCGGCTGGATCCAGCCCATTCCTTAGCTTTCCAGCCTCATGGCTGAGGTACTGGCTGTAGCCAGCAAGCGAGCTTCAGCAGCCTGTGCTTGCAAACCACATAAACCGCCTGCGAAAAAGAATCAGAGTTTGCCGTGGCAGGACAGCCCAGAAAGCCGGCATTTTTAAACGGCGCAGCTTTTTTCCTGCTATGGCTGAAAACCGAAAAGCATGCGTTCAGCTTTTCGTCAACACAGTTTAAGTGTTTCGTGGCAGGACCTCTTAATGAGCTGCAGGGTTTTGCAGCTAAAGCTGAGTCAGGAAGCCTCTCTCAGATGAGGCGCTTGCTTGCCTCTAGCAAGCAGAGTAGATCCGAGAAATTGTCACTATCAAGAAAACATGCTTTACTCTTTCCCAAGCTTTTTCAGGCTTTCTGTGGATTCAGTTGTCCTTGTGGGCGCCATATGTAATAATTAGGGCGGCGGGGCTGCTTCCCCAGCACCCCAGCCGCCCGCTCAGCTAGCTTATGCCCCGAAATAACAACACACAAACTATATTCATTTAAACACTGCTTGGCCCATTCTCTTCTAGGCTAATTCTCACATATTAATTTAGCCCATTTCTAATCATCTGTGTGTAGCACCCCAAGGTGCACTTACCGGGGAGATTCTAGCCTATGTCCATCCTGGGTCGGAGCTTCTTAGCGTGTGTCTGCCCAGGAGCCAGGAGCATGGCGTCTCTCTCAGGCGTCTGCTCCCGAGAGGAAAGCGGTCGAGTCTCTGAGCTCACTTCCTCTTCCTCCCAGCATTTTGTTCTGTTTACTCCTCCCACCTATCCTCTAACCAATAAAATGGGCCAGGGCAGTTCCTTTATTAGCCAATGACCTTCCTCCATCAACACATTGAAGTAAATGCCATAGAGAACTAATACAATGCTTTATAAATTAAAATAAGGAGAGGTCTTCATTAAGAAAAAAAAAGGTGATTTATCTGGGGTGGGTGTTTACTGCAGTCCAGACACAGCACAACAGAGGCCGCTGCACCCACGTTGCAGCCAGTAAAAGCACACTGGCTTATGCAGCAGTCTCCCTTGCCCTACCCTTGGAAGAAAAAGAAGAGCTGCTGAAGACGCCACTCTGCCTTCTCACTTTTCCAGAACTGTTACCATGCGAGTGCAGGACGTAAGGTGGGAGCCAGGCAGACCTGGGCGCAGTTGTGCTTTGCTACCGAGTGCTTGGAGATGTCACTCTAAGACATCTTACGTCTCAGAGTCTGCCTCCCCAAACATACTTAAAGCAGAAATGAACATCTCTTCCAGTGCTCATGAAGCTAAGACATCATGTACTATGCATGCAAGTGTGGTGTGTGCACATGCTCACATGGGTATTCCATGGAGGTGCACACACGCAGATGGGCATGCACAGGTAGAGACCAGAGGCTGGCTTTGGATCTCTTCCTCAATTGATTGCCTGCTTATTTTTGAGGCCGGGTCTCTCACTGAACCTGGAGCTCACTGACTGAACTAGGCTGGATGGCTAGTGAGATCCAGGTGTCTCCTATAGTGGGCTTGTAGACACACACTGATTATGCCTGAGGATTTAGACTCAAACTCTTATTGAAGCAAACAGCTTACCAGCTGAGACATTTTCCCAGCCCTACCCAGATTTCCTCCGCTTTCTACTGAATGATTTTTTTCCTAAATGTCTTTAAAGGAAAGAAAAGAAAAAGAAACAAACACATTGTCAAATGTGGTGGCAAAAGCCTTTAATCCCAGCTCTCTGGAGGCAGAGCAGGCAGACACCTGTGAGTTCAAATTACAGAATGAGTTCCAGGACAGCCAAGGCTGTTACACAGAGAAACCTTGTCTAAAAAAGGAGGAGGAGGAAGGGAAGAAGAAGAGGAAGAACAAACAAACACAAAGTCTCTTTTCTGAATAAAGATATTGGTGAGAAACTGGTGAAAAGATCTGGGGAGCTGGAGGTGAGAGATTCAGCAGCATTTGGGTCATAATTAATTTGAGGTTAATGATACAACTAGAAGATAGGGTTTAGGCTTTTTGAAATGCTAAGCAATTTGAAGTCAATGAAATAACCTGTCACTTCAGGTAGGTAATGGATATTTTCTTTTAAAACTCCCATCTTTCCACTTTTAGCCAAGGGACTATACATCTTAGGTTTTAGAACCGAGACCAATTCCCTCCCTAGAATCCATGACTGTGATAATAGGAATCAGTGAACTATTTAATGGTTGGAAAACACCAACAGGTTTCACATTTACCAGCAGTGAGGCTGCACAGATTAATTAAAATGTCACACTCCCTTGCTTCTAGCAGGCACTTTATGACACCACTGCAGTAACTGATTACAGATGAGCTACTGCTGCCATCACCAAATTGACGGAAGAAATATTGTTCTAAAATCTGGGGCTCGTGCTAAGGGAGGCATTATAATGAGGGATCTCTTATTCCTCAGAAATGTTTATATCCAAGTTCCACGGATAATTGTCCTTAAAAGAAAATTGGCTAGCGAACCCAACACTGTAATTCAAAAATAGTTTATGAAATTCTCCCCAAATTTCAAAGCTAGTATGCATTACTTTAGAAAAAAAACAGCAGAGATTTGCAAACACGTTTGTATCTCAAAGACATATACAATTAGCAGGCAAAGATGTTTGCAATCAAGCCTGATAACCTGAATCTGATCCCTGAGACCTATATGGTAGAAAGAGAAAATGGACTTCTGCAGGTTTTCCTCTGACTCCACACAGGTGCTATGGCATATGTATATGTATATACATATCCAGAAAAGGAAGGAAGGAAGCAGGAAGGGATGGAGAGACGGAGGGATGGGAGGGAGGAAGATGTAATTACATAAAAAAGCACTATTTTTTTTAGGGGGGGAAGGGTGCTTAAGAGTGATGTATGTTTGTCTGTGTGTGTATGTTATGTGTGTGTGAATACACATGTGTCTGTGGAGTTCAGAGGTCAATATCAAGTGTTTTCCTCAAATTCCACCTTATTTTTTGAGATTAAAAAAAAATCCTGAAGCTCACCAATTTGGCTATGCTGGCTGGTCAGTAACTGCAGAAATCCTCCTGTCTCCACCTTCCCAGTGCTGAGATTACAGGTGTACGCAACCACAGGCAGCTTTCTACATGGACGCCAGGCGCGAGCTCAGATTTTCATGCTTGTATGGCAAACACTTTCCCAACTAAAACCATCTCCCCAGTGTGCCCTATTTTTTAAGAGATATAATCCAAGGTGTTGTGGTATCTTGGATGTCTCAGATCACATAGAATTGCATTTGACTGTGGTTTTAGCTGGAGATTTCCATAGATATTCAAAAGAGATAGCACTTAATGTTTAGTTTTTTTTTTTATTGAGGGTTGCTACGCTGAAGGTGTGTCTCCTAAGAAATGTTCTTAATAATGCCCTCTTTGTATCTTTTATATTGCATTACTGTAGAAGCATAAAATATTGATACATGATTTTTGCTCCCCAGAGTTTCATATATGTACATATATTTCAATATTGGGGGTTAAATTTAGGGTAGGGCTTTGCACACGCTAAGCAAGTCTCCTACCACTGAGCTGGACCCCCGGCCCTGCTTTGGCCTTCTTTGTTCTGAAATAGGACATCAATAAGTTTCCCAAGCTGGCCATGTTCCCCAGGCAAGTCTTGAACTTGTGATCCTCCTGCCTTAGCCACTAATATAAGTGAAATTACAGGTCTGTACCACTATGAATTTCTTGATATTTGCTGGTAAACATATTGGTAATTTATTTTGATAAAGTTGTTAGTAATCATATCTAATATGTTTAAACAGAATTATGAAATTTCACGTGGCCAAACGGAAGTTTAAGGAAACATTGCGCCCATATGATGTAAAAGATGTCATTGAACAATATTCTGCCGGTCATCTGGATATGCTGTGTAGGATTAAAAGCCTTCAAACACGGTAAGCAAAGGGTATGGAAACTGTCGGGGGGTTTCCCACAATAAACAAAGCCTCTCAATTCTGTATTGCTGATTCATTTTTTGGTAGGCAACTGGGAAGTTGTTTTATCACAGATATTGTATTCTTCTTTTCACTCTTGTTTTCGGGTGTAAATCAAACATTGACAGGCTCCACAGATCCCTCTTCTGAGAAATGGAGAGACTGTCAGAGGTGCCGCGTAGGGTTGACATGACCACTGACTCGTCAGTGTAGTTTGTAACATGTAAGAACCGTGGAACCTGGTACTTGGTAAATGTTAATGATGGCCTAGCAATATCACTCCATAGAACACTTTACAAATGACCATAGCTTTCCCACCTGCTTATCAGGTATAAAATAAATCCTCACGGAATCTCTTCTATCAGTGTAAAATAAGCATAATTATGATTTCATGGTTTTTACGGTTGAATTCAGAACTGACTGGTCCAAGGTGGAAACAAGTTATTTGGCTCGCTCATTTTTTTCCTCTATCAAGTCCATCATAAATGATTTCATCAAGGATCAGAGGGATTAAAAAAATATGTAATCCTGTGTTAAGAAAATAATCAGGGGCGAGAAAGGGGACTCAGCAGTTAAGAGACTGGATGCTCTTCCAGAGAGTCTGACTTCAGAACCTAGCACCCACATCAGGTGGTTCACAACGGCTTCTCTGTCAGCTCCAGGGAATCTGACACCACCAAAAGTACCTGCACACATGTGGCAGACACACACACACACACATGAATAAATAAATAAAACAACTGACTCTTTTCTTAAAAGATAATTGGATCAATTGACACGCGTGTCAGCTTGCTTCGCCTTTTACAAACTGGACACTTGCCTTTCCTCTTTTGAGCCTTCCAGTTTTGCCGCGTGCATCAACTCTCAACCTGTGGGTCTCCATCCCTCTGAGGGTCGAATGGCCCTTTCACAGGGGTCGCCTAACACCATCGGAAATATAGGGTATTTACATTACAATTCATAAAGGCAGAAAAATGAGTTATGAAGTAGTAAGGAAAATAATTTTATGGTCAGGGATTCCCACGACATGAAGAACTATATTAAAAGGTTGCACCATTAGGAAGGTTGATAACACTACTGGCCTACTGTCATCTGTACAATTAGTGCCTATAACCAGGTATCTCCTTTGTCTGGCAGTGTTGATCAAATTCTTGGAAAAGGGCAAATCACCTCAGATAAGAAGAGCCGAGAGAAAATAACCGCAGAACACGAGACAACGGATGACCTCAGCATGCTCGGCCGGGTTGTCAAGGTGGAAAAACAGGTATAGCTCACCCACACCAGTTAGCTTTCGGCTGTGATTTGTTCCTCAAAGCTAAGTATATGGATGCAACTTAAGTTAATCTTCTAACATTTTATTTTATGTGTATGAATGATTTGCCTGCATGTATATCTGTGTTTGATGCCCAAAGAGGTCAGAAGAAGCTGTAGATCTGGAACTGGAGTTTTAGAAGGTTTTGAACTACCATGCAGGTGCTGGGAATCAAACCCAGGTCCTCTGAGAGAATAAGTGCCCTTAACCTATGCTATTTCTCTAGCCCCTAAAGTTAATCTTTTTGTTTGGTTGGTTTTGGTTTTTGTTGTGGTTGCTGCCTTGGTTTGTTTATTTTTGAGACAGGGTTTCTCTGTGTAACAGCCCTAGCTGTCCTGGAACGAGCTCTTGTAGACCAGGCCAGCCTCGAACTCACAGAGGTCCACCTGACTCTGCCTCTTGAGTTCTGGGATTAAAGGGGCGCCTGTTTGTTTGTTTTTTGAGACAGAATCTTTTCTACATGGCTCTGGCAGTCCTGGAACTTGCTTGGTAGACCAGGCTGTCCTTGAACTCACAGTGATCTGTCTGCCTCCAGCTCCTAAATACTCAGATTAAGGGTGTGCCTCACTATGTCTGGCCTCCTAAAATTAATCCTAATGATCACTATATGTCAAAGGAATGAAGTAGGGAGTGGTTGAAATTAATGACTTCTTATATGTAGAGAGTGTCTTTAAAACACTTTTGGATTTCCATTGAAGGATGAGAAATGTTTATCTTGTCCATTAATACTTAATTCAGAAGCAACTGTAGAATTTCAATAGTAAAATAGCAAAGATCTGTTTATCATTGTGTCTCTTTTAGTTTCCTTCATTTAAAATGAGATTTAAAACCTCACCATACTTGTGGCAAACGGTAATTTTTGACCCCGAGGCTGTGTCTTCTCAGAGAGTATTCTCAATGGAATTGTAAACATTCTAAGTATTCATTTGAAAACATTTATTTATGTGTTTTTTTTATTTATTTGTGGGGGGTGTTGAGGAGTGCAGTCTCACTATGTAGCTCTGGCTGAAACTCACTGTGTAGTCCAGGCAGGACTTGAACTCTTAGAGATCTGCCTGCCTCTGCCTCCTAAGTGATGAGATTAAGGGTATGCACAACCATGCCTGGTCTTAACTTTAAATTTAAGTGAGGTAAGCCAGACCCAAAAAGAGGAACATGGGATGTACTCACTCATATTTGGTTTCTAGCCATAAATAAAGGACATTGAGCCTATAATTCATGTTCCTAGAGAAGCTAAATAAGGTGAATCCAAAGACAAACACATAGGCATCCTCAGGAATATTAACCTTCATCAGGCGATGAAAGGAGACAGAAACAGAGACCCACACGGGAGCACCGGACAGAAATCTCAAGGTCCAAATCAGGAGCAGAAGGAGACGGAGCACGAGCAAGGAACTCAGGACCACAAGGGGTGCACCCACACACTAAGACAATGGGGATGTTCTATTGGGATCTCACCAAGGCCAGCTGGCCTAGGTCTGAAAAAGCATGGGATAAATCCGGACTAGCTGAACATAGCGGACAATGAGGAATACTGAGAATTCAAGAACAATTGCAGTGGGTTTTTGATCCTACTGCACGTACTGGCTTTGTGGGAGCCTAGGCAGTTTGAATGCTCACCTTAGGAGACCTGGATAGAGGTGGGCAGTCCTTGGGCTTCCCACAGGTCAGGGAACCCTGATTGCTCTTCGAGCAGATGGGGGGGGGGGACTTGATCGGGGGAGGGGGAGGGAAATGGGAAGCGGTTGTGGGGACGAGGCAGAAATCCTTAATAAATAAATAAATTAAAAAAAAAATTTAAATTCTCAGCCCAGCCTGTAGTGGTGGCCAGTGCCTTTAATTCCAGTACTCGAGGTGTGCATCTGTGTGTGTGTGGCGAGGGGGGGGGTCATCTCACAATTCAAGTCAGCCTGGTCTACAGAGCAAAGTTCCAGGACAGCAAGGGCTGTCAAACAAACAAACAACAACAACAAAAAAAAAAAAAACTCAAAAAAAATTAAACTTTCTTAGATTGATACTTAAGTTTCATAATTTCATTATAGAACATGTTCCTTCTAAAATTCACTGGCAATCCAGAAAGAAAATCAACCAGTAAGAAAAACATGCTGATTGAAAATACCTTGAAATGCACTTCAATGGTGCTTATATGATTTTTTACAAAAAGGTTTTGAAGACTAGCGTGGGGAGTCCAAAGAGGGTCACACAAATGCGGTTCTCACCCTCTCTCCCCTTCCTTCTCTGGCCCTGTCGCCCCCAGTGTTACCCTCCGTCACAATCAGAACTGCTTTGGCCTTCATAGTATTTCTTTCACTGTGTCAATAAAATCTTATTTCACCTTTGACATCCCAAGAGTAAAGTCAGTTCTTCCTAAGAGAGTGTCCTCATTTGTAACTGTTTTTCCCGTTTGCAGGTCCAGTCCATCGAATCCAAGTTGGACTGTCTGCTGGACATCTACCAGCAGGTCCTCCGCAAAGGCTCCGCCTCAGCCCTCACTTTGGCCTCCTTCCAGATCCCGCCTTTTGAATGTGAACAGACATCTGACTACCAGAGCCCGGTGGATAGCAAAGACCTGTCCAGTTCCGCCCAAACCAGTGGCTGCTTGACGAGGTCAGCCAGTGCCAACATCTCGAGAGGCCTGCAGTTCATTTTAACGCCAAATGAGTTCAGTGCTCAGACTTTCTACGCGCTTAGCCCTACTATGCACAGCCAAGCAACACAGGTGCCAATGAGCCAAAATGACGGCTCCTCCCTGGCGGCCACCAATAACATTGCAAACCAAATAAGCGCAGCCCCCAAGCCAGCAGCCCCAACAACTTTACAGATCCCACCTCCTCTCCCAGCCATCAAGCACCTGACCAGGCCGGAGACTCTGCACCCGAACCCCACTGGCTTACAAGAAAGTATTTCCGACGTCACCACCTGCCTTGTTGCCTCCAAGGAAAACGTTCAGTTTGCGCAGTCAAATCTGACCAAGGACCGTTCCCTGCGGAAAAGTTTTGACATGGGAGGAGAAACTTTGTTGTCTGTCCGCCCCATGGTGCCCAAAGACTTGGGCAAATCTTTGTCTGTACAAAACCTGATCAGATCGACAGAGGAACTGAACTTGCAATTTTCGGGCAGTGAGTCCAGTGGCTCCAGAGGCAGCCAAGATTTTTACCCTAAGTGGAGAGAATCCAAATTGTTTATAACTGATGAAGAACTGGGTGCCGAGGAGGCAGAAACAGACACTTTTGATGCCACCCCGCAGCCTGCGGGTGAAGCTGCTTTTACATCAGACTCTTTAAGGACTGGAAGGTCACGGTCATCTCAGAACATTTGTAAGACAGGAGACAGTACAGATGCCCTCAGTTTGCCTCATGTCAAACTTAACTAAAGTTCTTTGTTCCCTTTCTAGGCATAGCTGTTCTTTTAGCCATACATATCACTGCATGAAGTATTCTGGAAGCCCTTCTAAAAAGTCGAAATCGCAAGAATCAGGAAGAACATGAACGGCAAACTTAGAAGCCTGTTATCTTTTAATTGCATGAAAATGCATGTTTAGGGATGGCAGAAATTCCAAGGTGCATCGACATTAACCCATGCATTTAGTAATGTACCTTGAGTCTAAAATCCCAAGCACACAGTCGCTGCTGAAGCTATGGGGTGCGCGAAGATGTCAGGATTAGTTCCATTGCAAGAGTTGATGCTGTGTTTTGAAATTGGAGTAAACACCTTCAGATTTCAGGCATTTCTGCTTTATGACTAGACACAAAGTTCATTTTCAAAATTAGGCCATAATGTATGTGTAGACACAATGGCTAGCAACAGCTGCTAATAACACAAGTAAAGCAGAATTTGGATTATAACAGAAACGACTGCTTATTTCAAGATATCTTTGCCAACCCATTCCTCCTCAGTCATTTGATTAACGTAATTTGAATGTCAATCTGTGTGCTTTTGGTGACTTAGCTCTGTGGCAGACAATTTTTTGCACATTGTTTTCATGTTGTCCTTTATGCCGGGAATGTTGTCTGATTCGAAAATGGGCAGATAATGCCATTCAGGGCCAGTGGGGCAGGAGATTTGCTCTTCCCTTGACATCTTAAAGTTTGTGCAAACGTCTCTGATGGAGGAGTCAGCCGTGTAAAAAGCGCAATCTCCTCACAAGCACATGGACTACCGATGGGTTTAACAACTTTTACAACTGGACTGGTCTCTCTGTGAGAACACAATGACAGGCTTGACCATTCTGCCCACTCAATGGCCAGTGTGACCAGCTATTCCCATTTTGTGGACATGCAGGTAGGACCTGGGGAAAGGGGTATCTATGTGAGGCGGAGGGAAGGAAGACTTGGAAAGACTACAAGCATTCCCACAAGTGGATAGCATGCAAGGAAATGACTGTCCACCCGCAAAGGGCAGTGAGGAGAGAAGCCAAAATGAAACAACTAGATTTTTTTTTTAGAAAATAAATATTGCTAGGAAGTTCAACTACCTAAACATCCCTTATTCTTGTATAACAGAGAATTTTGCAAGCTATTTATTTTTACTATTCCCTGAATGTCTTTTGCTATTGTGTAGTAGTACATTTTGCACACGAAAGGCTAAAACTAAACTTCCTTTACTTTTTATACTATAGTGAACATTTTTCTATTCCTCCCAACAATATTATCCCAAATGTGAAATGATTGGCTCCGTTTCCAGGTTATAAACATATATCATTACAAACCAGATAGCACTCGATGTGTCTGTAGATCAGAACCCCTTAATAATATCGCAATCGATGGCAAAGAATCAAATGAAAAATATGTATTAAAAATGTATTTCTCAAAAGGCAAGCAATACTGGCTGCTTGTTAGAATTCAGCCCTGCACCTGTAATCACAGCCCTGGGCAAAGTGAGATGGGAGCACGGGTTCAAGGCTAGCCTAGATGATACAGCAAAACTGTGTCTCAAAACCAGAGTGAATAACATTCAAATAAGCTGTTGAGAGCCTACCACGTGTGTATACCTGTGATCCCGCTATTTGGGAGGCAGAGGCAGGAGGTTCTGGAGTTCAAAGCTAGCCTTGGCTGTGTGAAGCCTGGTCTCCAAAAGAAGGAAGGAAGGAACGAACGAAGGAACGAAGGAACGAAGGAACGAAGGAAGGAAAGAAAAGAAAGAAGTCTAAGGGAAGTTGGTTAGGCTTGAAATCCTGGATTCATGAAAGAAGGCATTTTTTTTTTTCTTAACAACTATTATCACTGGGGCGGGGTGGGGGAGGATTTTTTTCAGCATCCAGGCCAAATGAGCAGGATCTAGGGATTTAAAGTGGTTGCTCAAAGAAAGGAGACCTTCAAGTCCACCAGCCCTTCCCAAACCTCTCCCCCAGCAGAATGTTCTAGTTACCGGTCATCCTTATTTTTCTGCCCCATAACTGTTTGGTGATCCTTCACCCCAGTTTGATATCAGACTTCACCAGGCCTTAACCAGCCTTCACCCTCAAGCAAACCAACTTCCTCTTCCTCGAGTGTGCTTCTCAACCTCATTTTTTGACAGTGAAAAGTTAAAAGAAAGAAAGAAAGAAAGAAAGAAAGAAAGAAACCTTCCTTATGCCTGGTATGGCTGTACGCACCTTTAATCCCAGAACTTGGGAGGCAGAGGCAGGTAGATCTTTTTGTTTGTTTGGTTTGTTTTTTCAAGACAGGATTTCTCCGTAGCTTTGGAGCCTGTCCTGGAACTAGCTCTTTTAGACCAGGTTGGTCTTGAACTCACAGAGATCCACCCTGCCTCTGTCTCCCAAGTGCTGGGATTAAAGGCGTGGCAGGTAGATCTTTCTGCATTCCAGCCAGCCTGTCTACAAAATGTGTTCCAGGCCAGCCAAGGCTACATTGAGAGATCCTATCTTAAAAAACAAACAAAAGCTTTCTTGGATTCTAATACCGTCTCCTGGATAGCATTCAGGATCTTATGGCCCATGAAAACACAAATAAGATAAAGTGTGAATTTCTCATTCTATTGAAAAATGTTCATCAAGCCTTTAAAGCTATTCTCATTTTCCAAACAGAATGCTAGGCAATTATTAATATGATTTTTCATTTACCCATGTCTTCAACCAACCCGAAGCAATGATGTACCTTCCAAAGGACTTGCACATGCACGTATACACAAAACACATCCCTCCACTGAGCAAAAGCCAGAGCCACCTGGTGGCACTCAACAAGGGTCACTCCAAATAATGGCTGAGGAAGAGAAAGGAGCTGACAGCTTCCAGACAGCACTGACACTGTCTCAGGTTGAACCCCACTGGCAGCAAGAATTATGAATGTAATGAGGATCCCTTCTTAGGCTTCCTCAGGTCTCAAACACAGTACAGTTCATCTAACATCGCTGAAGACTGACTAGTCAGAGACAAAGCCAAAACACATCACTGCAGTCTTAAGCAAAATGTGAAAAGCTGCATCATGAAAAATGTTTGTACGTTGAAGCCATGACCATTTTGTGTCTGTTTCTTTCTAGCACAGAAACTCTTGGACATTGCAAAACAGGTTTCTTGGCGTGTAAACATCAGGGTTATGTCTATTAGGCCATTCTCTGGGGGGGAGGGCATGGGGGAGGGGGCTCTCCCAGTTACACTTAGCAGGGACCCATTGCTCCATCCAAAAGGACGTCTGGGAGCACAGTTCAAATGAGCACACTGAGTAGCCATGTGCTCTCTCAGATCAAGCCTGTCTGCCTTCTGCAGTGCATAGGGTTGATTACGCTAATACAACAGTCATCCCTTGTAGGAGGTTAACTAAAAAAAAAAATGTTGCCATGTCTACTCTAAATGTTTGCATTTTGTTCAAGGAAGTTAATATCTGGAGATGGCAAGTTCATTTAAATTAAGATGCTTTGTTGGGTTTTCTGATTCTATAATAATTTCTGGTTCTTAGGTGCCTTTCTGACCTCCCGTTGACTCGGTGTTGTCTGGAAGGGTCTTAATCTGAAAGTCAAACAAGTCTAATTAGAGGAATCAAGGCACAGACTAACTAAATATCATACCATTTCCAGAGCAAAACCATAAAGAATGATGAAACCCAGGCAAACTGATCATTCAATCAGATCAAGGAAATATCATAAATGCTAATTTCCCAGAACCTGATTTTTTTTGCCTTAAATGACATGGTTGTGCTTTTGTTAGGAAATTTAATTTAATATAATGATGTGCATTTAAGTGAGCAGTTCTAAAAGTCATGTAGGAAAACAATATAATTGTCTGTTTCCTGAAAACAGCTAAATCAGAAATACCATACCCATTTCAAGCTATCGTTAAAATGTAATTTCCTTTGCTCTCTTTTACTGAGATATTTGTTTTAAAGGAAAATATTAAAAAGATGTCTATAAACAGCGAGTGTGACTGTCTTCATAGAGAACAACGGACTGACCCAACCATACTCAGACTCAGCAGTGAGGTGTGTTCGTGACGCCGGTTTGCATTTGGGAACGTAGATTTGCTCATGTTCTCAGGGACGTCATAAGAAGAACCACTTTGTTTTGTTTTTCTGAACTTCTGAGGAGTCAGCTCAGGTCTCTGACCATGTGCTCCCCAGGCCAAGAAGAACATAATTGGATATGGCTCATAGCTCAGACAGTAGTCTGTGTGGTTGTGTGCTGACTTCACACAAACTGAATGGATAGCCTTTATCTTCTCCTCTTGGAAATAGAACTAGTTTAGATCGCAGATTACTGTTGATTTTTAGAATATTTGAAAATATATAATACACCTTAAGGATGAGATCCGAGTCTAAACACAAAATTCATGTGTCACATACAACACTCAGATCTAAATTCTTACAAATGCTAGGTGTGTACTCGGTCACGGAGCTCACCCAGACATTTGTGTACTCTTCTTAATAATTTGTGCCATGAAAGAAAGTTTCATGGAATGGGATTTCCTATATATGGTGTTCATATCAGCTCTCAGAATCTTCGGAGAGCCTTTGGGGATTCAGCCTTAGAGATACTTGGCCAGAATAACACAAGAGATTGCTAAACAAGTAATAAGAAACAAAAACCAGGTGGGTGCCCAGCACAGATCATGTGGGTACAAACACTCAGCTCTGCCTTACCAGGAAAATGTTTCTACCTCAAAGGGACAGTGTCCTTTTTTCCATGAGAAACTCCATTCTACAGGGCCGGGAAAAGTGGCCCAGCAGTGCTTACTGCTCTTGCAGTGGCGTCAGGACCACTTCCCAGCACCCACCTTTGCATAACTCACAACCTCCTATAACTCTAGTTCCAAAGACACTGCACACATTTGGCACACAGAAACTCAAGGGGGAGCACACACATAAATCTTTCGTTTGGTTGGTTGGTTTGGTTTTTCGAGACAAGGTTTTTCTGTAGCTTTGGAGCCTATCCTAGAACTAGCTCTTATAAACCAGGCTGGCATCGAACTCACAGAGACTTGCCTGCCTCTGTCTCCTGAGCGCTGGGATTAAAGGCGTGAGCCACCAACGCCCGGCTGAACAAATAAATCTTTTAAAAACTAAAAATATTAGGAGGCAGAGGCAGGAGGATCTTTGTGAGTTCAAGGCCAGCCTGGTCTACAAGAGCTAGTTCCAGGACAGGCACCAAAAACTACAGAGAAACCCTGTCTCGAAAATCCAAAAAACTAAAAATAAGAGTCTCTACTTCAGTCAGGCACCGTGGCTCACACTCTTTGGAAGCTAAGACAAGAGATTTGCTAAGAGTCGGAGGCCAGCCTGAGGCTACATAGACTCTGTCTAAAAATAACCAGTAACAATAAAAAGCTATTACCAGATGGGTGGCTGTAGTACATGCTTTCAATCCCAGCACTCAGGAGGCAGAGGCAGGCAGATCTCTGTGAGTTGGAGGCCGACTTGGTCTACAGAGTGAGTTCAGGGACAGCCAGGGCTACACAGAGAAACCCTGTTTAAAAAATAACAATAAATAAAAATATTTTTTATTGTCCTTAACTACTACCAACTCTGTGCCAGGGGGCTAGTATTAGTTCAACAATTTTCTTTTCTTTTTCTTTTATTATTATTACTATTATTTGGTTTTTTGAGACAGGGTTTCTCTGTGGTTTCGGAGCCTGTCCTGGAACTAGCTCTTGTAGGCCAGGCTGACCTCAAACTCGCAGAGATCCGCCTGTCTCTGCCTCTCAAGTACTGGGATTAAAGGCGTGCGCCACCACCATCCAGCTAGTTCAACAATTTTCAAGCAATCTCAGAATCTTACAAGTCCAGAATCCACAGGCAAAGAGCCCTTAGGGAGATAGATATCTTTAGACCAGAAGTGGATTGAACAGTGTTGATAAGGAAGCCTCCTCCTCCGTGACTTTAGAGATGCCAGACAAAAACATTTCTCAACTATTAACTTAACAAATGATGGAAACAAAACTGTGTCGAGTCTTATTCTATTGCTGACATACAAACAGCCTGGTAAAAGGAATGGAGGGAAGCTTTGTTTTGGTTCACAGTTCAGAATACAGTCCATCATGGCCGCCGGAGCTCAGAACAGCTGTTTGCTCGACATCCACAGTCAAGAACCAGAAAGCAATGAATCTGGGGCTCAGCTAGCATCTTTGGATGCAGCCCAGGCCCCAAGTGAAAGGTTTTATTATCTTTTGTCTCAAGCTAATCCACATAATTCCTCACAGACAGGATCAAAAGTTAAATAAACCCTCACAGGTGTGCCTTGCCTGCATAGGTGAATCCTGTCAAGTTAAAGACACCAACCATCACATGGAAGGACTATGCTAGCTCTGACATATTGTGAGACTGCTTCTGGTGGCTTGGAGAGATGGCTCAGCAGTTAGGAGCTCCAGCTAGGCCAGCTGTGGTGACACACCTTTAATCTCAGCACTGACACAAGTGGATATCTGTGAGCCTGAGGCTACCCGGGTGTACAAAACAAGTTCCACGCCAGCCAGAGCTACACAGTGTGAGACTCAAAAAAAAAAAAAAAAAAAAAAAAAAGGAAGAAGAAGCACTGACTACTCTTGTAAAGGATCCAGGGGTTCAATTCCCAGCACCCACATGACAGTTCATCACTGTCTGTAACTCCAATTCTGGGGTATCCAACAGCATCTTCTGGCCTCTGCAGGCACAAAATTAACACTGAACACAGACATGTATGATAGCAAAACTCCTATACACATAATATTTAATACAATTTCAAAAAATGCTTTTAGATATTTTTGGCACTACTTTAGCAATATCTCAAAACTACCTCTTAAAAATTAAAACAAACAATTATTCTGTCTTAATTACTGATAAAAATTGGGCTGCTGGTCTTTTGAAGTGGCAGGTAATATTTTCCTGGTTTCAAATACTTTAAGTCTGATGCAAGTATATCTTTGAAATTTTTAGATTTTCCTTAACATTAAGACTTCTCCTTATAGCTCATCTAATTCTGAATTATTGAGGTTTCTCAGATTTATTTCATTTTTATTCTCTGGTGTGTTTTGCTTTTGGCAATGGTCTTTATTAAATCATTGAAAACCAAACTGGAACATTACCATCAGCTACATATTGAAACTCTACATAATCTCTCAAAAAAAAAAACAATTGCTGACATATTACCCCAACTATATTATAAAAATTAATGGGGCACTTAGGAGGCATTTGACTTAAAACATACTAATAACTTCGCTGAAAAGAGGAAAAGGGAAAAACACCTTTTTTTGAAGCCAAAAGTGATGGTACATGCCTTTAATCCCAGCATTCCAG